ACCCCCCAGTGCCACCACTGTCACAACTACCACCATCGTCACAATCACCATTCCACCCTCGCCGCAACCATCAAAATACACCCCCTCCCCCCACAACTCACCTTTCCAAATTCCTTTCAACTAATAAATCACGTTTTACACTATGAAAAACACCGTCTCACATAGATCTACGTTTCCTATGCAGCGGACACGATAGGTTAGGTGGGTCGCTTGGGTTCGGACGTTTCTGGTTAGGTTAGAAGGTTGGACATTTGACGAAGTGGCAAATCAAGATAACGTACTGCCACACGCACTCCTAAACCCACCCCCGCCGCTCTGCCCATGACCTGTGTCCCGTTCTGACCATATATCTCACCTCCACTCTCGCTCTCATCCTTCTTATCCCATATCCTTCCAGCATCCTCCGTTCTGCAAGCCTCGTCGGCCCTATATGCGTGAGGTGCGTGAGGGAAGGGAGAATGGGAGGAAATACTAGGTCCAGTCACGTACGATATTTGCCTGGTAAAGAGGAGAGAGAGTGCCTGGCCCTGTGGGACACCTCTGAGAACACCGGCCGGAGCTAAATAATGGTGGCAGACAGGACTGGCATAAGAGGTAGGAGATTTGTCAGGATGTGAGAGAGAGGGAAGGTAGGAGGGATGGAGAGAAAGATGTGAGATACTCGAGATCTTTCTCTCTCTATCTCTCTCTCACTCTCATTCTCTCAGGATAACATTATCACGTTTGTAGACCGTGAAATTTGGTGGTGAGGGGGGGTCGTTACAGGATCAGATATTTTGTAAAGAGGAGCAATGTGGCTGACCCCGAGCAGCCCACGTTAGGCACCTATCCTACGGAAATTACCATGAAAAATTTGAAGAAGCTTGGTCGAAGCGTTTGGACTCCGTCTTCGAAGATGCACACAGACATTTCCATTTATAGATATTGATGTGTATGTGAATGTGTGTGTGTGTGTGTGTGTGTGTGTGTGTGTGTGTGTGTGTGTGTGTGTGTGTGTGTGTGTGTGTGTGTGTGTGTGTGTGTTTTTGAGAGCTTTTGCCTCTTTGGTCCCACCTCTCAACTGTCAATCAACTGGTGTACAGGCTCCTGAGCCTATTGGGCTCGATCATATCTACACTTGAAACTGTGTATGGAGTCAGCCTCCACCACATCACTGCCTAATGCATTTCATTTGTCAACCACTCTGACACTAAAAAAATTCTTTCTAATATTTCTGTGGCTCATTCGGGCACTCAATTTCCACTTGTGTCCCCTAGTGCGTGTGAGTGTGTGTGTGTGTGAGAGAGAGAGAGTAGAACACCCAACAGTCCCGCGAGACCGGACAGAGAGCCCAGACATCCAGCGACACAGCCAGCTAGCTGCGGGTCTCTAAAGAACGCACCCGAGCGAAAAATAGCCGGTTACGATCGTGGGACCGAGCACTACACACAGGCCCGAGGACAAGACACCGGGGAGAAATTGCCACACTGATGTCAGAGGAGCCGGCTGGGTGATTAATCTGGGCGCGGTGAGGGAGGAGAGGAAGGAGGGAGAGACACAAAGGAAATGAGGCCCATAATTGCGTATAACAAAGGGTTGGGAACGAAAGATGAGCAAAGGAGTCGGGGGAGAGTAATGAAAGGACAGGGAGGATGCGCTGGTAATTGATAAAAGCCGATAGAAGGACACCTCGCTGAACGACCCCTAATGTGGGCAATATTACCAACAGTTCAGCCGAACTAAACATCTCCGTCACCGTCCCTGTATTATAATGTTATTATCACAATATTATTATATATAAATATATATATATATATATATATATATATATATATATATATATATATATATATATATATATATATATATATATATATATATATATATATAATATTGCTCTTGCTGCTTCTATGTTGGTTCGGGGTTTTGAAGTGGGTAGAATTTGTTATGTGTTAATTGGCTGTTGATTGCTGATGTTGACTTTTTGATGTGTAGGGCCTCACTGATGTCGAGTCTCCTGCTATTGCTGTATCTATCGATGATTTCTGTGTTGCTTGTTAAGATTTCTCTGGTGATGGTCTGGTTGTGAGAGGAGATTATATGTTCCTTGATGGAGCCCTGTTGTTTGTGCATTGTTAATCGCCTAGAAAGAGACGTTGTTGGCTTGCCTATATACTGAGATCTTTGGGGTTCACAGTCCCCAAGTGGGCAAGTGATGGCACCAACATAGTAGCAGCAAGAGTAATATAGAAGCAGCAGATATGCATTAGTGTCATATCACCTCACCCAAAAACGAATATAAGCATGAAATGATGTGTGTAAAAACCTGTCTTTGAATATATATATATATATATATATATATATATATATATATATATATATATATATATATATATATATATATATATATATATATATATGTCGTACCTAGTAGCCAGAACTCACTTTTTGGCCTACTATTCAAGGCCCGATTTGCCTAATAAGCCAAGGTTTCCTGAATTAATATATTTTTTTCTAATTTTTTTCTTATGAAATGATAAAGCTACCCATTTCATTATGTATGAGGTCAATTTTTTTTTATTGGAGTTAAAATTAACGTAGATATATGACCGAACCCAACCAACCCTACCTAACCTAACCTAACCTATCTTTATAGGTTAGGTTAGGTTAGGTAGCCGAAAACGTTAGGTTAGGTTAGGTTAGGTAGGTTAGGTAGTCGAAAAAACATTAATTCATGAAAACTTGGCTTATTAGGCAAATCGGGCCTTGCATAGTAGGCTGAGAAGTGAGTTCTGGCTACTAGGTACGACATATATATATATATATATATATATATATATATATATATATATATATATATATATATATATATATATATATATATATATATGTGTGTGTGTGCGTGTGTGTGTGTGTGTTGCTCTTTAGCCTTTTGTAGTCCTAATTAGTCGCTGTCGCTGTCACAGCGACAGCGAAACTGTCGCACATATTATTTAGGAGCTTCAGTGCCCATTTTCCCTACGAAGAAACTATTTCTGAGCCACTCGGAACAAAAGTGAAGCAATGGGCCAAACCTTTGTATTTTGTTGATTTCTGTGTTTCCTTGAAAGATGGAGCGCCATCCCCCTTTCGATTGCACTGAATTGAACGTAGGTAATGGTCTCTTTTCCTCTCACCCTTTCCTTCAGCCTTTCCTCACCGATTACAACCCTCCCTCTCCCCTGGCCGGGACACACCTACACATTCCACTAACACCAAACTTCATAACGGCCCACATTGTTACGACAAAATGAAAATATTACGTTTCCCAGATGACAAAAGTTGAGATTCAACAACGGTCCGGGTAAACAAGGAAGCAAAATACAGTAATGGCAAAATCCAACGTTTCAGACACATAGGGAATGAACCCAGTGTATATTCACAAAGATTGGTGGTCGTATAAGCTGCCATAGCAAATTCTTGACTTAATGACTGCCGAATAATATATGACAGTGAGTTGTTGATGTAATATTTCTCACGTGACTTATGTCAGCAAGTTCCTGGTGTAATATATGTTACTTACCTCAAGAGAGTAAGTTCTTGCTGCAGTATTTGTCACTTAACTTATGACAGGAAGTGTCTGATGTAATGTTTAAATATGATTTGCAATGGGAGTCTTGATCTCTCAATTTGTAATTGATAAATGCGTCTAAATTTATTAACTGGCGACTGCCAATTTCTATCAAATCATGTGACTGTATAATCAATAGATGTTTATAGAACTTGAACGATAAATATGTGGAGAAATAGAGATATAGAGTTGAAAAAAGTGAGACGAAAATACAAAGAGGAAGATAAACAGAGGAACTTCTGAGAAAGAGATAAAATATGAGAGAAAAATAGCTGAAAATATATAACATATAGAAAGCTAAAAAGAATAAAAAGGGTTGTGAAAATTCAACACTCACCTCACTCCAATACTTCCCACCTCCGGTAACTGTACCCGACATTTTTATAAACGTGCAATCCAATTAATTCTCTCTATATCTCTTTCTCTCTCTCTCTATTTCTCTCTTTCCCTCATCGACTCACTGTCCTTCATGAGAGCATCACATGACACTGAGCCTCACGCCTGGATGGTGTGTCCAGGGGAGCAAGCAAGAGAGGCAACGGCCTGCTGATTCCTCGCAACCAGACCTAGAGCTCAGGATATCATTCCTTCGGCCATTTATCTATGCCCTTGGGGGCCCCCTGCTAGTATGACCTGCCTACCAGCCTGCTGTCCTGTCTACTTATCTGTTTTCTTGATGCCCTGCCTGATTTCCTGTCCTGCTTGCTTTCCTTACTATCTACCTGCTCGCCTGTTTTCTTCTCTACCTGCCCATTCCCTTCCTTTTGTGTGTGGCTGTCGTATTATTGGTGTTGTTGCCGAGAGAGGTGTCTGATCATGAACTTTGAGACTACTGGCCTTGTTACCTACATTCAGTCTCACCCCAACACCTCTCCAGGCGTGTTAAGTCACACACCTTAATTTTCCAAGCGACTCCATCACCCTTGGACACCGACAGCACAGCATTTCGATTCCATTTTCCAAAGATGTCGACCAACAATGTCCCTGCAACTCCATTTCGTCCAGACACCAGCATGTCTACGACGACATTTTGTCCAGACACCAACATGTCTACGACTCCATTATCTGCGGACACCAAACAACTTTAAATGACTCCATTTTCCCCGTAAACGAATAAGGACTACAACACTACAACATCGCAATATTGGGTTATAGCTTTGCGAAACTCATTAGAGCAGGACGAAGGATCGAACCAACTTATATAAAGCTTGAAAATGTAAAAGTATAAGTGTAAGACTAGTGTATCTGATTCAATTAAAGACTCACTAATATCTCAAATACTGCTGAAAATTATTAGATAATGTTAGATAAGAAAGGAAAGCCTGATTTCATTTATTTAAATTTTTTGCATAAAAATGGGTTAATTTTGAAAGTGGAAGATGACAAGAGGAGACAGCAATTAAATATCTTGTTAAAATCAGATTTATTTGACTTTAGCTGTGGTTCAAAGTGATCTTGATCCACGTCAGCCCTTGAATCATGTAAAATGTACAGTTTAAACAAATTTCTAAAATTCCATAAATTTGCTGTTAGTTATCATTCAAATTGTATACATCTGTTTAATTTCCTAGACTAAATTAGCGTTTTTGTTATGTCTCTTGTATCTTATAATCTCTTAAAGTCAGTAAATTACAGAAAATCACTTACTTTCAATTTATTTCACTTAGCATCATAGTGTAAATATTTATATTGATAAATCATTTGATAAAATACCTTAAAACAGACTGAAACCAAATCTCATGGTTTTGAGAGACACGTTACTAGCCTGAATCAGAGACTGTCTTACTCACATCAGAAAAAGAATCATCCAAGTAACTGAGAGCATCAATTAGGGGATCAATTTCACGAATTGGTGATTAAATTGGTATTAGTAAACACTTGTACACTAATGAACAAAGTTTTTCCATTTCAGTACTAGTCAATAAAGTTAATGAGATAGAAATATCAAACCAAGTAAGCAGGAATTACATGAAGCGTAATTATTACATGAAAAAGAATTACTAAAAGTGTACCCCATTTGTCGATGTATATATATACACTGAGAGTATATTTGCTGGCTGATCAGGAAACTATTGTGGTAGCCTAAATAACGCTCTGAGATTGACAGGCCTAACATACAACAAACAGTTTAAGAGACAGCCCAAACAAACTGTTTAAGTTCTTAAAGGGTAAACAAAGGTAAGACGATCAAAATGGCAACGTTTTGATGGTTAGCGACAGAGCGATGATTCCTTAGGAATAAAGAAATGTATTACACTCCTTAGACAACAATCAATTCTCTTCTCATAGGCGAGAAACCTCTCAAGATACGCTGATCACATAAAGTTAACACACTTGACAGCTTCAAGAACCCAAGAATTTCAAAATTTACATATTAACTTTGCACGAGCAATCAGGCAAAATCCTTCAAACGTCGAAATTTAACAAACGCAACATTTAACTACCAAATAATCAAATACTTAAGAACCGGAATCATCGTTTTAGGAGTTTATCTCCGGCGTTTAGTAACACATGTAAATCATCATTATTGATACAGACATAACATTTAAGAACAAAAATAGTCACATAAAAACATATCTGAATTTTTCCGTAAAAGATTCGTTCTTACAAATGTACTGTATTAGTATTCTATTAATATATATATATATATATATATATATATATATATATATATATATATATATATATATATATATATATATATATATATTAGGGGTACCACCACTGGTTACATAAACAATTACTGAAAACGCGAATTTGGGATAAAATAGGAACGTATTATTAGGAGTATGTTGTGTATCGAGGGGCCTAGACAAGTCCTCACTATGTTTATGTCCTCATATATTTATATATATATAAATAAATTAGGAATCACAATGCCACCACAGACACAAACGTTAATAAACCATCTGTTAAAATTCCTTATAATAAATAGATGAACAAAATCTCACGGTATGGGAGATTACAACCCTGAATCTGAGATTGTCTTGCGGACATCAGAAGCATTTGAGATACTAAGAGTATCAAGAGAGAGTCCTCAAGCCTCGCATCTCCACCAGGAATACATGATCAATAATATAATGATCTAGAGACAGGACTACGGGCAATAACATAAACAATTACTGAAAACGCGAATTTGGGATAAAATAGGAACGTATTATTAGGAGTATGTTGTGTATCGAGGGGCCTAGACAAGTCCTCACTATGCATGGAGGGTTTTACACCAGTGCATTGTGTGCGTAGAAGGGGGTTAGACGAGTGCTTTATGTGCCCAGATGGGCTCAGACGAGTGCAATGTGTGCACAGAAAGCCGGAGTTAAGGATGTGGTGACTTTGAAGTGGTCATCAATAACTGCTTCAGGTGCACAGACCGTTCACTAGTGACTAGTGAGAAATTAAGACAATGTAACAAATTATAATTATTCACATCGATAGCAAAATCCGTGCACAGTAATAACACTTCTCAACGCAATGGTAATGTTCACTTTGAAGATGCTGCGGTATCCTGGTTTCCTAATTTTAAGTATTGCTTAAGATAAGCAAGAGAAGGAACAGACCAGAGAACATCTTATACTGGCATCAGGAAACAAACCCAAGAACTTGATTTGTGTTCACTTAGGCGGCTTATGTTACGAAGGACACCTAATTCAAAACCTTTAACTTATCAAATAAATTTGGAGTAATCAAGAAGTAATTTCAGTTGCAAGATGAGTTAGCAGCAAAGTATGGAGCTCATTCGAAGAAGAAAACATTTAAAATGAAGTTGAAGTGCAATGCATCTCAAAGGATGTTGAATGCAACTCAGGAGAAACTGAAAACAATTCCGGAGAAGTGCATGCAATGTCAGGGGTAGGTAATACAGTCATTACCTTACACTATTGATATAAGTGTAAGGTAATATCTGATATTTGGCCTGAAACACAATGCTGATCTTATTTAAATTGCTGGATAAATATTATTCAGAGAATTGATTCGATTGAACATAGTAGCGAAGGCCAACTTTAACAGTTGTCTTGAATGACATGAACTGGGTTCTGCATTCCCTCAACACTTCTCAGACATAATGTTAAAAAAAATATTGAATCTAATACGAGGATAGTGTGCTAATGTTATTTGTAGGAGAATTACATGGAGCAGTAGTATAAGTTTTCGTTGTAGTAGTAAAAGTAATATCAGTAGCAGCCGTTGTAGTAGTAGTAGTACCAGTAGTAGTTGCAATAGTAGTAATATAGTAGCAAGAGTAGTAGCAGTTTCCGGTAATTAGAAAATTAGGTTCAGCATTATGCCTTTCTAGTTAAATTTAGGTGAAATTATCTTACAATCTGTTGCGTGAAAAACATAAGTTTTCCTGCTGGCAATGTTCCCAGCAGATAAACCAGGAGTACCTTAGGATCTGGCGTTATCTGCTTTGTCTCTCTCTCTCTCTCTCTCTCTCTCTCTCTCTCTCTCTCTCTCTCTCTCTCTCTCTCTCTCTCTCTCTCTAACTGACTAGAAATAATTTAATCTATATTAAGTATTATTGGACAGGAAAATTTATGTTTCTCTAGGGCTTGTAGGTGTTTAAACCGCGCTGCGCTGCTCCCATAGTGGCCGTCACCCCGCTCATCTTCAACACCTGGAATGTGAAGGTGTATATCAATACACGTGACTTACAGCAACGCTGAATTCACAAAGAAATTGTTACACATGTGAGATATTATGTCTAATCCACTCCATCTCATCGGCCCTCCCTGTGAGGCATTATCTTCCTTTATCAGCAATTATGAGAACAAAGACAGATGTGCTAAGCAGTTTATCAGCAAATCCTCCCTAAGACCTCTATGTGATCTGAGTCACTGTGGCGCAACTCTGGTTTCCTTTCACCAAATGCTGCTGTTCACTTAGCAGTAACCCGGCTTCGAACTAAGTCCATTCCATCCAGCGGTCGACCCCAAAGACGCATTTAACAATTTAACTTGCTCTTCATTCAAAATAGGAATATTCTCAAATATAAATTAATATTATTATATATTAACATATTGTGCATATTTAGACACTGGTTAGGTTACGTTAGGTGTTTAGGTTCTGTTGGCGATTATTTGTAGTACGTGGGTGAAGCATTTACAGAGTTGTGGTTCGAACAAAAGTCGTCAGCGAAGCACTTGTTCCGGAAGTGTTCGGACGTCATCAGTTGTGAGTCGTGTGTAAACCGTTTTTCATTCACAATCAGGAGGTTTGATGGGTGCATGGAATGGACCTTGGTCTTTGTTAATGAGGACGGGCTGAAATTGGTACCCGGGAGTTAGGCAACTGTTACAGGGTAGGACCCTGGGGAGGGTCAGTAGTAGGACCTTAGTAGGACGTCCATACAAACCTAAAGTATATATATATATATATATATATATATATATATATATATATATATATATATATATATATATATATATATATATGATCTCATAAATATATTTGATGGCATATATAATGCCATCATACATAAATATTCCAACCCATCCACCTAAAGGTTATCATTTATTGCAAATATTTGATCGAACGTTCAAAAATGGGCTGTGGCAGCGAACATTGTTCATGGTTCGTACTATTAACTTTGTAGAGTTGTAGAGGGCACGAATGAAAGAAGGCAAAAACCAAATTGATATAGTAGGCCTGAGATAGAGTATATTAGGCCTAGGGTACCTTGAGCAAGTTCTTTTGTTATTGTTTGTGTCCACATGTAGTTGCATCAGTACTAAGTTTCTTCACGTAAAACATAATTGGAAGTTGAGTTGCGTCGCCTCCTCATTTTCTGGTGGGTGGTTTGGTCATTATGGGTTGCAATATTCATGAGGAAGGAGTTGTTAGTGTCAGAAAGAAAGGGATTGAGGGAGTAAATCCCACTTGAAGGGAATTGGGGGGATGTTGTTGGTATATGAAAGATGAAAGTCGTGGACTCTTTCTCTTAGTAGATATGATTCTGGTTACCATGGGTACGGGGATTACGTTTATCTGCTGCGAGATGCTACTGGTGTTCCGATCGATACAATCGGTCCCTCACTCACCTGAACTGACCTGAAGTGGAATCCTGCTAGTATCTGAAGGAAGGAGTCGTGAGATGCTGATATTCGCAGAGAAAAGGAATAGGGATAAAAATTTCATCTACAATAGGATGCTGTCGGGACCGGGAATGAGAGGGCGGTGGGTAAGACTCCTGAACGAGGTCTATACAGTGCAGGCGATGAGTCACAAAAACGTGGCTGAAGTATGTTGACCAGACCACACACTAGAAGGTGAAGGGACGACGACATTTCGGTCCATCCTGGACCGACAATCGACTTGAGAATGGTCCAGGATGGACCGAAACGTCGTCGTCCCTTCACCTTCTAGTGTGTGTGGTCTGTTCTATACAGTGTCACGTAAAGAGCGAAGGTCCTCCTGCACCAGCACTCACCTGTGGGGGGATGCTGTTTAGGTCCGGAGGAAGAGGTACCGGAACGGGGTGGTTGGGGTGGAGGCCGTGGGGCCTCAGGTGGTACAACAGGTACTCCATCACGTACATCAACTGGGTGTCAACGTAGTGGAAGGTGACGGCCGAGTCTGAGCAGCAGTTGAGGCCCTGAGGACGGGTCGACAGGCATCAAATTATCAAGAGTACGTCTTGCTACAGAACTGAATTTTCTACAGGAGATTTCTGATTTTATGTTGACAGATAGGGTGATAAAAAGACATTCACAGGTTGTGGTCTGGAAAATAGTGTTCAGAAATCTAAAGTTAAAAACATCAGGAAAGTTTTGGACTCGTTTATCCTTAGCTGTGATTGATCTAGATAATGATTTGTTAGTCAATTTCTAGAAATGCGATATATATATATATATATATATATATATATATATATATATATATATATATATATATATATATATATATATATATATAAATATATATATACCGCATATATATAAAGTATATATATATACTCAGAACGCCTTCTCGCAGTTCATGTGTCTTTTTCTTACCCAATATATATTATTTTCGTTTCATATGCACGTGTTCTGTGAGAGTTACCGATGACTATTAAAGGTCATAGGCTCATAATGGTCTCACAATATTAACCAAATTATGTTTTAACTAAACAAGTTACACTACTCACAAACTAGCTACTGTGGTTGTTAGCATACCCATCAAGTGCCTATTTTCATTGTGAGTAAATGCACTCATGATTGCTCCAAACCCCAGTCATGAGCGGTGGTAAAAGGATCACATGGACTCACAAAGTGTTCAACAAATACACACCTACAGTTTTGTTTATGCTAATCAAGTTAATTTATTTTATTGTTTTTTATTTGTTTAACTTTACCCCTTGTTTTTTTTATCTTTATTGTTCCCCTTACGCGTATGGGATATCTAAAGATGGATTGTCTTTTCCATGCACCTAGATGCTCTCTTTCATCCACTAAGAAAGGTCTGCCATCCACCCCACTGACATCAAACATCCACCTGTCGCCATCTTGTGAATGGACCGCCATCCACGGTTTTCCCTCGGCACCTTTGATCTCCAATTTGTCAAGAACCGTCAGTGCAGCTTTGTCTTACTCTTCGTGTTATTTTCCTATTCTCAAGACTGTGACCTTCGATCCTTGTTGCTTGTACGCCGACCTGGTCAACGCCAGGTGACGTACCGTGCTGGGGGGGGGGGTGACGTACCGTGCTGGGGGGTGCCGTACCGTGTCGGGCATGTAGTAGACGTAGTCGAGGTACCAGTCAGGGACGCCACCGAAGAGGTGCGTGCTAGGGGTGACGTACCGTGCTGGGGGTGACGTACCGTGTCGGGCATGTAGTAGACGTAGTCGAGGTACCAGTCAGGGACGCCACCGAAGAGGTGCGTGCTAGGGGTGAAAGGAAAGAAGCGGCCTCGACCCATGTTGTCCCGGGAATCTCCGGCCAGAACGCCGATATTGTCCAGACACTTTCCTGCAAGAAAGCACTGCCGTTATAATTGTGACTAAGACACTTTCCTGCAGCGAGCCCTCATTTGGTAAGATCTAGGCAGGTGTCCTCATTAATAGTGGTGGAGGTAATTTATTTCTATAGTCTTTAGAGTGAGGAAGGAGGGAACTATCGTGGGAAAACGCCAACCCATTACGACTATATAGCACTTGGAAAGGGTCAGCATAAGGATTTGGGATGGGACGGGGAAAAGGAATGGTGCCCAACAACTTAGACGGTCGGGGATTGAACGCCGACCTGCGTGAAGCGAGATCGTCGCTCTACCGTTCAGCCCAAGTTCTCTTATTTGTTATAATGGTTCTAACCATACACTTGGTTACCATTCACTTGCCCAACTTAGCATCCACTAGCTCATATCAACATTCAATAACCCATCTCAGCATCCACTGATTCATCTCAGCTTCCACTGACCCATCTCAGCTTCCACTGACCCATCTCAGCATCCACTGACCCCTCTCAACATCCACTGACCGATCTCAGCATCCACTGACCCATCTCAGCATCCACTGACCCATCTCAGCATCCACTGACCCATCTCAGCATCCACTGACCCATCTCAGCATCCACTGACCCATCTTAGCATCCAATGACCCATCTCAGCATCCACTGACCCATCTCAGCATCCACTGACCCATCTCAGCATCCTCGGCGCCAGTGTTATCCGGCTTACAGAGCTTCTTGTCAGGCAGCGATACCTCCACAAACTGCTTCAAGGCCTCCCTGCTCAACACGTACCCTCCACCTGCGGGATGGGAAGGAAAGAGAGGGAGAGACAGACAGACAAGACAGAAACAGAAAGAAAGAAAGAGTGACAGACAGACAGACAGACAGACAGACAGACAGACAGACAGACAGACAGACAGACAGAGGAAGAAAGAGAGGAAGAAATAGATAGAAATTAATCTTGGTATATACATAATATCAAATCAATACATGTAGAAATATATTTCAAAGAAATAGTCTATTTAAATTTTCAAGTACAGAAACAAAATCTAAAAATTTAATGACTTTTCCAAAATGTTTCTAAGAATTCAGCAGTAACTTAAGACTATCTGCAACATGATTCCAACAGATGAATAATTAGTGACCTTTAAACTTTTGCAATTAGGTTTATTGAAGTGATGTTTAATTTCTGATCTGTAACACAATTAACATCTCTCTCTCATCGACATTCTTGCAAGCACTTATAATGTCTCATAGACACCCCAATCTCCCACTCACCCACAGTCTCTCACCCACCCACAGTCTCTCACCCACCTACAGTCTCTCACCCACCCACAGTCTCTCACCCACCCACAGTCTCTCACCCACCCACAGTCTCTCACCCACCTACAGTCTCTCACCCACCTACAGTTAATCACCCACTTACCTCCACTCATGTAGCCTTGCTTGGTGAACTTCCTGAACCTTGAGCCGAAGTAGATGGGGAAGTCGGGGTCGTAGGCTGAAAGCATGTAGCGCATGTTCTCCATGATGGTATACCTGAGTGGTAGACTGTTTGTGACTGGTGGTTGGTGACTGTGACTGGGGGGTTAGACTGCTTGTGACTGGTGGTTGATGTCTAAGTCGTTGTTGACTGTGATTGCTAGTGACAGATTGATGGATGACTGTGGTGGGCAATGTCATATGGGTTTATATGACTGGATGGTTGTGGTGGATGAGGTCTAGACTGTCTATAGCTAACATCATAAAGGCTGCAAACTGGTCCTGGTGTTCAGAGAGTGATGACTGTAACTGTAATGCCAGATGGGGCGATTAGTTTACTTAATTTTAATATGTAATATTCTGAATGTGACTGTTACAAGCGAATTAGTTGATGATTTTAACTTGTGATAACAAGAGGATGACTGGCACCTCCAGGTAGTTTACCAATTACCAGATAACAGGAAGGTAACAGTAACTGGATGAGAGGGGATGGAATGATAGTACACATGTTAAGTTACACATGAGTATCTGGTAAGGACAGTTAAGATAATGACAGCTAATAAATGTTGGATTGATGACGTCCATAACTGTCATCAACTGCGAATTTGATATTTAACATCTAATTTGTGTAGATCTACGAGGTGACTTACGTGTCGTCGTCGGCCTTAAAGAACCAGTCGTATTGAGACAAGTAGTTGTTGTAGACGTAGGTGAAGGCTGCCTTTGTCTTGCCCCACAACACGTTCCTCCCCTCACCAACACCAAGGTCGATAGTCCCAAGCTGAGTGTCTGCGGATACGACCTTCTTCAGCACCACCAACACAGGGAGAGGAACTTGAAGAATGTTTACCTCGTGAGTTAAATTCAATTGGGTGTAGCTCAGTGTAAATATTGAAATATACTGAAAACAGCTCTGTTGTCACAGTCTATCAGGCGATCACTTCATTGTTCAACGTGGCAAATATTGTAAACATGAGATATCACTCAATATATGACAAACATTACTAAACACATACAAACATTTGTATGCACCTGAAACATTTCAGGTATGTGGAACATTAACTAAATATAACAAACAACATTTCTAAACATGGCAAACTAGTATAATCACGGGAGTCATTGTAAATATGTGAAACATAACTAATAATGAGAGGTTTATTAAACAAGAATAAACAAATAATAATCCATCATTATTCATTGTTAACACTTATCTAACGAGAATAACATAAAATATGAATTAAAAAGTGCTGAATATTTTTTGTTATGATTTCATTAACAAACGCAAAATTACTGACCGTTTAAAACACCTACCACGAAGCAGAAATACAAAGAAAGTTACAAATCAAGCAAGTAAGAATTTAAGTCTACTAAAAATTAATAAATTTTAGGGACATTTAATAAGGTTCAGTAAAAAAAATATTAATTTGTTTATTAACTGCAAAACAAAGAGTAACAACTTCAAACTGCCATCCAAAATGGATTTTGTAGTTACTAAGGATGGAACTACAACAATGGACTAATGGGTCCAAATAAAAGTTAACGTTTTGCACTATTTATCTTGTAGAAGACGCGAGAAAGAGAGCAATGGCCAAAGAGAGAGCAATGGCCAGAGAGAGAGCAATGGCCAGAGAGAGCAATGATATACCTGTACTTAATTAGTCATACGATATTAGGCCTAGAATTGTTTATATTGGTCAAGAACTGGTTAGGTACAGAGCTACTATTTCACCTTTTTTAGTGTGCCGTGAATAGTATTCCAAAGTACAAAATCAGATTATTTAATTTATTTTTATTTTATACAAACGGTCCATATTTGCAAATACTATCTATTGTATCTGTAGGTATTATCATTTTTTGGAGGACATGTTAAGCAAATTGAACGAGAGAAGCCTTTAGTTATTATGTCAATGAGGAATATCCATCAGGAGAAGGGCCATGCACTGGCCATTCCCAAGAGGGTCATTGACCACTCTGAGAAGGATAGGTACTACTGACCATGTTGACCAATCCACACACAAGAAAATGAAGGAACGACGACGTTTCGGTCCGTCCTGGACCATTTTCAAGTCGATTCTCACAATCGACTTGAGAATGGTCCAGGACGGAGCGAAACGTCGTCGTCCCATCACCTTGTAGTGTGTGGTCTGGTCAATATACTTCATCCACGTTATTGTGACTCATCGCCTGCTACTGACCATTCATGGAGCTCATGAAGATGAGTTTGTCACAGCGGGCGCCCCAGGTGGCCTTGACGTGGACGGCCTTGCTGTGGTGCGTCTCTGGACGAGTCATCACCCAACACAGCACCCGCACCTTCTGCGTCTCCTGCAGCGCCTCCTCTGTACACACACACACACACACACACACACACACACACACACACACACACACACACACACACACACACACAAACATACCATTAGTATGTCACGTTTATACAAGTCTAGTATTGACTCAATATTAAAGAGTAGCGAATATTAGTTATTAGCGAAAGTCCTTAGGAAAATTAAGCGATTATTAGTACAAACCCCAGGTACACAACAGGCTTATTATCACAATACCCTCGTTAATTAACTGGTTATTAAGTCTGACTATAAAGAGACATCAATTACACTGCACAAAAACACTCAATATCATCGTTATTCCATGGTACATTTACAAGCATTAGTGTTCATAATATTTTTCATTCAAGCTTTAACAAGCGTAAGGGGAGTTTACCTGGGTGTTGGCTGTGGTTGAGGGTACTGAGAGGGACCACAGAGGGGCTGAGAGGGGAGACGTAAAGGGGAGTTTACCTGGGTGTTGGCTGTGGTTGAGGGTACTGAGAGGGACCACAGAGGGGCTGAGAGGGGAGACATAAGGGGAGTTTACCTGGGTGTTGGCTGTGGTTGAGGGTACTAAGAGGGACCACAGAGGGGCTGAGAGGGGAGACGTAAAGGGGAGTTTACCTGGGTGTTGGCTGTGGTTGTGGGTACTGAGAGGGACCACAGAGGGGCTGAGAGGGGAGACGTAAAGGGGAGTTTACCTGGGTGTTGGCTGTGGTTGTGGGTACTGAGAGGGACCACAGAGGGGCTGAGAGGGGAGACATAAGGGGAGTTTACCTGGGTGTTGGCTGTGGTTGTGGGTACTAAGAGGGACCACAGAGGGGCTGAAAGGGGAGACATAAGGCGAGTTTACCTGGGTGTTGGCTGTGGTTGTGGGTACTAAGAGGGACCACAGAGGGGCTGAGAGGGGAGACGTAAGGCGAGTTTACCTGGGTGGTGGCTGTGGTTGTGGGTACTGAGTGGTGAAATGTGAGGGGTAGTTTACCTGAGAGGAAGGTATGATTGTGAGTATTCAATGGCAAGGCGGGGATGAACTCTCCAACCAGGTCATCGTGGGACATCGGCTCTCTGGACCTGGGAAAGGGTTCAGTAGTCAACATATATTATAGGGGGAAATAAGTATAATAGCAGGAGAGGAAATTAAAGGAGCAAATGGTGGATAAGGAAGAGGGAGTTGGGAAAGCGTAAGTAGAGAATAAGGAAGTACGAAGACGAGTAAGAGAAGAAGATAGGGAAAGAGTAAACAATAATATATGTGAAACATATACCGGATATTGATAAGCGACGAAAGAGAAAGTATGAATGACAAAGAGATAATAAGCCAAACAAAAGAATATTGAAATCAGTTCCAATCAGTATTTTGGCTGCATATATCATTATAAAACCATGTAAAAGAAAATTAGCTTAAATATATAAATAAATAAATATATATATATATATATATATATATATATATATATATATATATATATATATATATATATATATATATATATATATATATATATATATATATATAGTAGACACACAAAAAAACACAGATTGCTCAACCAATGTTATATAACGTAATGAAAGAGGTTGAGTTGATACCTGACGTAGAGGTAGTGAGCAGGGATCACCCCCAGGGAGGAGAGGAGCACTCCCACCATCACCGAGATCACCATCAGAAGGCTGGTCTTCACCGACGACCCTGCAGGAGGAGGCGCGGGATAATTATATTGTAGCAAGTCTTCATTGATGATTATATAGGGAGGGAACACTGTGTTACATGGTGGGCAGTCTTAACTGATGAGTCTACAGATGGTAGACAGTCTTCACTGATGATTCTACAGGGGGTGGAATCTGTTGGGCTTGAGGACTATCACTCTCTGCTGGGTTATTAAAGCCAAAGAAGTACTTATTGACCAACTTATTTTATTTTAGATTTGACCGCGTCCACAGCTTAAGTAAACTCTCCTTCTATATACACAGCTATTGGTGTGTGTGTGTGTGTGTGTGTGTGTGTGTGTGTGTGTGTGTGTGTGTGTGTGTGTGTGTGTGTGTGTGTGTGTGTTGGAGAAATTATATATCTAATTCCAGTCATATATTGCAAAGCGAAATGTTTGGAAATTTTAAGGAAATTAGGCCTGTTAGGCAACTCTGGCTATTATATATTTATGGTCAGTAGTATATCTACTGTATACCATTTCTATGCTAGTTTTGACTCGAATTAATATATATATATCATATACAATGTAATGGAAAGCTTTATCATTCCGTGAAAAAATTGTGGAAAATATATTTCATGAAAATTTGGCTTGTTAGGCAAATTGGCCTATTAAGTACAAGCAATAGAGTATGGATAGCAGAAAATTTCTTGTAATTTTTCACAGATTAGTGAATAATGGTGTATATTACTATAAGAAAAAAGACATCCCTTGCTCCATCTCAGAGTTAATACAGGATTATCTTCAAGAACGGACTCTAAGAGTAGTTCTCAATGGAGAAGAATCCGAAAACCACTCAATTGGTGCCAGCTTTCCACAGGGTATGCTGGGCACCTCTGCTGTGGAATGTCTATTTGAACAATCTACTTAATCTCATTCCTAAAACTCAAGCCTATGCTGACGGCTGCACGCTGACCTTTACATACAGAGAGGAAGAAATGCCAACTGCTATAAAACTCATCAATCACAAACATTTTCAGCGATTTCTACCTGAGGAAGGAGATAACAGGTCACGTTTGCGGCTGAGAAACCACAAGCGTTGATGATAACTCGACTGAAAATGGCAAATCGGACGGGCTTGTAAATGGATGTCAAAAACCTCGAGTTCAAAGATGAAACTGACATATTGGACATGAAGTTTGAATCTTCTATGACCATGAAGAGTTACTAAGTTTCAAATAATAATCTCATGAAATAAATGAGTCTCTAGGAGCAGGCTTCAGATGAGCTGAGGTAAGAGAACAGCTCTTGCTTGCAGTTTCACTAGACACGTCATGTGACAGCCCTTATTAACCCTAATCTTAGTTAAAAAAAAAAAAGGAGAGAGAGAGAGGGAGAGGCAGGGAAAGAGTGGGAATGGTGAGAGCGGGAAGGAACAAATTATTACAAAACAATGCTCATAAAGAAATACCTTAAAAACATTAAATTCAAAACAAGACATATCAAAACACATTGGAAAAGGAAGGGAACTATCAGGAGAAAGCGCCAAGCCATTAGACTATATAGCACTGGGAAGGGGTCAGGATAAGGTTTTGGGATGGGACGGTGGGGAAAGGAATGATGCCCAACCACTTGGACGGTCATGGGGATTGAACGCCGACCTGCATGAAGCGAGACCGTCGCTCTACCGTCCAGCCCAAGTGGTTGGGCGTCCATATTGGCAAGCGGTCACTCCACTTGTGCTAACCGCTTGATACTCCTCGAGAGCTTCACCTGTAATGAATGCTCAGGTGTTTATCACAGCTGATGACTCCCAATTGAAACAGCTGTGTAACCCATTTTAGTGACACGGAAACAGTCGCGACTCACTCTTCAACCCTTACTAACCATCCCCCCCCCCCCCTTTACACGCTCCTATCTCCCCCCCCCCCGTTACACGCTCCTATCTCCCCCCCCCCCTCACCCTCCTATCCTCCCCACCCATCCTAAACCCAACCAGCTCGAGGGAGGATGGAAGGATTGCCTTGGCCTGCCGCCGCCTGTAACTGCATCGTTTGTAATTACCTCTGATTCTGTAACCTACATTTAAGCGGAGATTAAGTTATCAGTTGAGGTTCTGTGTATATTTCGGTCTAGGTTTGGTTAGGTGTTAAGGTTCTGTTGGCGATGATCTGTATGTGAGGTTTCTGGGTGAACACTGACAGAGTTACGACTCGAGGAGTTGTGGGAAACGCGTAAATGTTTTTCATTCATTAACAGGGAGTTTGTTGGCTGCATAAACGATCACTTGACCTTTGTTGTGGAGGATGATTTGTGTTGATGATGACGGGATGTGTTCATGATGAGTTGTGTTGATGATGACGGGATGTGTAGATGATGGCGTTTCTTATTTAAAACATTTCCACCATTAAACTCTGTCTATTTCTTATATTTTGTTTATGTTATCGTAGTTCCCTGATTCGCTTTACCGTCAAATGGAGAGTTTGTGCATTCTGAGCCTTGTACTGTACGTGAGATCCCTTAGCTCTGAAACAAGTCTAGATGTGTCTCTGTACCTTTCTATTTATTCTATTTATTCAGATGTGAACTCTGTACTAGTGCTGCATACTCAGTTGTTGGTGTTATGTAGGTTGCCCAATGCAATACAAAGGCCTCTTTATCTAGATTCCTGAGGGGGACTCTGTTCGTGATCCTGCAAGTGTGATTAAGAGCAAAGAGAGTGGGAAGTTAATACAAGTATATGGTTAGTTATACATATGTTTGTGTGAAGTTAAACACACACCACGTACGCCCAAAATTAACATTAATGCTATTAAGAAGGAAGTTTGTGCTGTCGGGTAATTAAGAGAGAAAAGTAATTTCCTGATTCATGAATGAATAAAAATTATCTCATATTAATTACTCAAGGACACACTCATCAGTGAAGCAAAGTCATCAGGAGGTGCCATAATAATTTCGTACATGATTTTTAAATGCATAGATGAAGTAAACAAAACGACCAGGTGAATGTTGATTGGATACATTTCTTTAACCTTGAAGAGATATATTTTAGTATGAATACTCTCTCCCTCTGACTGACAGTAATGGATATCATCTGTCAGGTTCAATATACAGCTGGAAATCAGAACAAGAAAATTTCATTTAAAACTGTAATTTACATGTGGAATTGCATGTAGCATTTTAAAAGAATATGTTAGCATCGCAAAGCCAGGGAGCAACATGAATACCTCAGCCATGCCAGTGGGAGGCAACATGAATGTCTTATCGTCGTCAGAGGCCAACATGAATGTCTTAGCCATGCCAGAGGGGCAACATGCATGCCTTAGTTATGACACGGTGGGAAGGATATATCAGTGTCTTAACATCATCAGAGGGTGAAGGTGAGATGGTACGTAACTTATTCATATCTAAGATTATTGTTTTTTCAGTTGGATACTCAACTAATATATTATATAGTTATTGTTATTAATTTATACACTCACCGCCTGAAAGTACAGGAGTAATGAATGGTTATAATGGTAAGGTCATTATTATAAACACATCCATTGTAGAGTTTTTGTAAAAAAAAAATTGCATTATTTTTTATAAAGTTAATTGCTTTTTTTCACTGTTTTCGACTTTTGTCTCATAACTTTTAGGCAATTTGAGTTTAATTCGATTAGAGATTTTATAGCCACAATTTCTTCTTAGTCTTGTGCAAAAACGTACAAATATCTTTCAAATCCTGAAGTGCGGTTGATGTAAATTCCAAATCATTAACTTAAGATTCTTCAATTATGTAATCTGTAATTACCAGATTATTAATTTTAGATGCTAGTGTTGAAGAAGGACAACTGCTCCGCTGGTTTACATTCCCACAGATGATGTAAACTCTTTTCCTGAAGCCGAGACGTCCGATCGTTATATACTTGGGGGTATTTACGAACCAGCTGTCGTTTGGGCTTCGTACACCAATTAAGCCGACCCATAAATAAATCCTTGCTCCCACCCTTACATCTCTTCATCAACTCGCCCACCTATGAATTAAACCAAAAGATTCATCCTCTAACCCATCAATCCATTCTTCTAGTCACACACACACACACAGCTATTAATCCATTCACCTACCCATACATCCATATATCCACAAAATCCTCCCTTACCTTTCAGCATCTTCTCGTGAAGCAGATTCACAGCAGTAACATAAGAGATAGCAAAACAGGATCGCCTGCTTCCGGGGGGAAAACAGCAAGAGGTACTTGTAAAAAATGCCTTTTGAGGAATAAACTATAATCGTCTAGGAGATGGTGGAGTCGATGAGAGAGCTGGTGGATCCTGCCCGACCCGCAGGTGCGCCTCGTTCACACTGCGAATTCGTTCGCTCTCAGTGTGTCTCATAGCTTGAGACTTAGTGAGATTTCCAACACGCGAGCTTATCTGATAATTCTGACGCTCTCGTAGCCCTTCCCTAATACCCCTCCCAGGTCCCTGTCCTTTGTCCCTCTGTCACCTCTCAAGCACACAGACATACCCTACCTGTCCCCCCCTCTGTCATTCTTATACGTGAGTGCCTCTCGTTTCTAATCTACTCGTTTCAATCTATTGCCACTTGGCATCTCCCTCTGCCCACTGTAGTCACGTGTTCGCCTAGGAGGGGTTTGGTGGGAGATGATGGAGTGGGGGGGGGGGGTTCAGCCTCTGCATACCACCATTCAATAGTACACTTGTGTGTCTTGTAAAAATCAACGTGTGCCCGAAACGATAAATATGTAGTAATGGCTTTATAGAATGTTTATTTTGTATCTACGAATTATCCACTGTATCATGTATTAAATACATATACTTTTTATAAATAAATTTATTATTATTATTAACAATAATGATATTATTATTATTATTAGAAGTAGTAGTAGTAGTATTAGTAGTGGTAGTAGTAGTATTAGTATTAAAGTAGAATATGAAGGTCCCCACAGCTCAGGGAAGAGAGGGCCGGCATTCGGGGAAACATTCTCCTCACTCTCAACACCATAAGGTCTGCGCTTATATGAATTGAGATTAGTTAATTTAGCTTCATTAAGAATCATTTTATGGCTAATCGGATCTAACTAAAAGATTTAGTGCCCTTTACTGTCTCTGTAGAATCTATAATTAGAATCTATAATTTTATTAGGCGTCGCAATTTGATAATCTAACAGATATATACAATTCTACTGTTATTAAAGTTCATCATGTGATTGAATTCCATTGCTAACTATTGTTGTGGTTGTAAGAGAATGTATTATGGAGAAACTGACTACAATGTTGTAGTGCTTAAGTGAAGGTGAATGTCAGACCCAATTTTATGTTAAAGTGTAATAAAAACCTTGAAATATATATTATCTATGAAAATATATTTTTTCATTAATCATCACAGCTCATTACACCCTAAACATGTCACTCGAATGGACTTGCACTGAGCACATACTCACCACATATACACACACTCAAGTATGACACACCTGAGTACATATACTCACGATACTTTGCATGCATTCAGGGAGTTTCTCTCTCTCTCTCTCTCTCTCTCTCTCTCTCTCTCTCTCTCTCTCTCTCTCTCTCTCTCTCTCTCTCTCTCTCTCTCTCTCTCTCTCTCTCTCATCTGAGAACTCGACAAGGTGTCCAATTACTGATTACGCAACATTCAGATCTTCAGATACTAAATGTTATCTCAAAGGCTTTACGTGTGCTGAGTCTTATCAGCTGCCACGGTCTTGCTGGACTTGGTCGAGAGGTCTTGCTGGACTTGGTCGAGAGGTCTTGCTGAACTTGGTCGAGAGGTCTTACTGGCCTTGGTCGAGAGGTCTTGCTGGACTTGGTCGAGAGATCTTGCTGGACTTGGTCGAGAGGTCTTGCTGGACTTGGTCGAGAGGTCTTGCTGGACTTGGTCGAGAGGTCTTGCTGGACATGGTCGAGAGGTCTTGCTGGACTTGGTCGAGAGGTCTTGCTGGACTTGGTCGAGAGGTCTTGCTGGACTTGGTCGAGAGGTCTTGCTGGACTTGGTCGAGAGGTCTTGCTGGACTTGGTCGAGAGGTCTTGCTGGACTTGGTCGAGAGGTCTTGCTGGACTTGGTCGAGAGGTCTTGCTGGACTTGGTCGAGAGGTCTTGCTGGACTTGGTCGAGAGGTCTTGCTGGACTTGGTCGAGCGGTGAAGGTGTGGCTGTGGCTCAGACCCGATCTGAAATTCGTTTGTCTATTTTTGGTAATTTTATGTATGACGATTAAAGTTTTTGAAGGTAAAATGTGTTTTGTATTTAATAAGTAATTTTGGGTTCCTTTTTGCAAGTATTAGCGTTGTTATAGGGACAGTGGTGAGGCTAGGGTCTGCTGTGGGGTGTGGTCGGTCTGCTGTGGGGTGTGGTCGGTCTGCTGTGGGGTGTGGTCGGTCTGCTGTGGGGTGAGGTCGGTCTGCTGTGGGGTGTGGTCGGTCTGCTGTGGGGTGTGGTCGGTCTGCTGTGGGGGTGTGGTCGGTCTGCTGTGGGGTGTGGTCGGTCTGCTGTGGGGTGTAGTCGGTCTGCTGTGGGATGTAGTCGGTCTGCTGTGGGGTGTGGTCGGTCTGCTGTGGGATGTGGTCGGTCTGCTGTGGGGTGTGGTCGGTCTGCTGTGGGGTGTGGTCGGTCTGCTGTGGGGTGTGGTCGGTCTGCTGTGGGGTGTGGTCGGTCTGCTGTGGGGTGTGGTCGGTCTGCTGTGGGGTGTGGTCGGTCTGCTGTGGGATGTAGTCGGTCTGCTGGTAGTTAAGTCAGACAGGCCAGGACCTGGATTCAATTTTAATTTTAATTTTAATTTTTATCTTTTTAATTTTATTTTATCTTAACATTTTAATTTTATTTTAACATTTTAATTTAATCTTTCTGGCTTTTGTTTACGTTTATTAAACAGTTTATGAACTCCGAAGCACTAGAAAGCTGTTTATAGCAATATTAACATATCGGGAAATTTCGATAGTGTAATTTTATCTTATATCTCGACAGAATAAGGCCCAGTGTACCAGTATTTAAACGACAATGGTTGCACAGATGGGGTGAGAGAAAACTCAACCTGTTTGCGACACAATAGTATCTGCTGCACTATAGCAGCTTAGGATATCGTTTTCTATATTACTGTGTTAAAGAAAACTGATCTTAATGAGGATATACTTAATTGTTGGCTGCTTTTTTTCATCTCTACAATCTTTTCAACTCTTCAAAGCTTCACATTACTATGTGAACTCACAACATTATGTGAGGTAAATGCCGAGTGCTACAGACTCTGTGATACTATATCTAGCGATTGTAAACAAGGTATAAAACACTGTTCGCTCCTCACATATCAGTGCAAGAAGTTACCTTCAATATTGCAAAACCAGATATATATTCAACATTTGAAAATGGATTTCATTGCAAATAAATTTAGAATTATTAAATTCAAAATAATATATATTTGGTTAATAATAAATACTCTTTTTTAATGTTAAGCAGCAGTCATGTTAGATTGATGTGAAGTACTTAAAATGTGTCTTTAAGCATTCATGTGGTCTGTCAACCACAATTCATGTGGTCGGTCAACCACAATTCATGTGGTCGGTCAACCACAATTCATGTGGTCGGTCAACCACAATTCATGTGGTCATTCAACCACAATTCATGTGGTCGGTCAACCACAATTCATGTGGTCGGTCAACCACAATTCATGTGGTCGGTCAACCACAATTCATGTGGTCGGTCAACCACAATTCATGTGGTCGGTCAACCACAATTCATGTGGTCGGTCAACCACAATTCATGTGGTTGACTTGATTTCATGAGTATCTAATTACTGAGTGAACAATTTTTTGTTTAATTAAGACTAGGGTTCATAAGGGCTGTCAAATGACGTATCTAGTGAAACTGCAAGCAAGAGCTGTTATCCTACCTCAGCTCATCTGAAGCCTGCCCATAGAGACTCATTTATTTAAAAAAAAAATGTACTTTGAAACTAACTATAGTTAGTTTAGTTCATTTATTATGCACCCCATACCCATCTTGTGGGCGGTAGTGGCAAGGGTTACAGAGGCACATAATGGGCTCAGGGACTGAACACCACAATTCATTTAGCTAAGCAAGTTACAATCTTAATGAGTTAGTTACAAAATTAAGTATAAGTCGTCACATCGTCAATGGGTTTGAGATCGACCAGTAGTACAGTTTCTTAATTAAGCAACTGACATATATGGAGAACTAGTGTTACAATTGATATGTTTGTCCTGCAAACCGCCCCCCATCCAGTGGGCAGCGGTGGATAGGTTACAATCACTTAGTTACTACCTATAGTTAGCAAACTGGGGATATTTGGCTAAAACTTCTGGTAGCAGATCATTTTAAAATATTTAGCAACATAGCAGAAATATTTACACATCGTTGGAACATTGGTTATAGAATTGTCTCTGAATTCACGTATCTTTTCGCAATCCATTACATAGTGACGGAGGGTGAGCGAATAATTTTGTTGACACAGTTTACATTTGGTCAGGTCTACATCAGCAGATAATGAGAATTCCCAGAGATACTTGTAACCGAGTCTAAGCCGAGCAGTAGTAACATCTAGAAGTCTGCTGATTTTATTGAAGGAACCATAGATGTGTGGCTCCTCTTGCATGATAGTATGATGATAGATGGAATTACTGGTGTCGATTTCAGATCTACAAGATTTTGTTGAAGTTCTCGGTGTACTGCTGCTCTCAGATTGCTCATTGGCAAACCAAGATTACACTCAACGTCTCCTTTAAAGGCAGATTCTTTAGCTAACTCATCAGCTCTATCATGCATTCGGAGGCCAACATGAGATGGAGACCACATGAAATGGACTCTGTTACCATCATTAATAATTTTGTTGTATTTGTGTCTAGCTTCGGACACGAGCATGTTACAGTCATGTCTTAAAGAGTTGAGAGCAATTAAGGATGGTAAAGAGTCACTTACAATTAATGTATCAAGTTTGGAGACTTGTACACATTTCAGTGTAAAGAGCAAGGCAAATAGTTCGGTCTGCAGGGTAGAGGCCCAGTTGTTTATACGGACTACGCACTCAAAATATAAGCCATCGCCCATTGTCAGGACAACTGCACTTCCAGCTGCACCCGTGGTGCTGTGTAGGAAATCATCAGTGTATGTGATTTGAGAGAGAGAGAATGCTCTGTGGAAAGAGCATCGATATGGCTTAAGGCGTTGAGCTTTGCCTCAAGACGAAGCTTGAGCTGATCTCTAATTTGCTTCTTGGGTGGAAAGGGAGGGATTAAAATTGGAAAGGGTATACTCTCCCACAGTGCAGGAAAGTGCCGTTGTTGTCTCTCTTGGTACAAATTATATACCTGATACATTTTGAGTTCAGTTCCAGTTTTAGTTATCTATTTGGAACAATGCTGATCTTCAATAAAGAAATTCTGGAACTAACTATAACAAAGGGAAATAGCATAAAAGGAACCTGGTGAAACTGAAAGCAAGAGCAGTAATCCTACCTCAGCTCAGTTGAAACCTAGAGACCCATTTATTTCATGAGCCTATTCTATACATCAATAGGAATCAACTTTATTCGTTAACATTAGGTAACAATCGTATAAGGAACAGGATGAGCCAAGTTCAAGTTTAATCATATAAGGAAAAGGACGACTCAAGTGCAAGTATGTTTATTGAGACTAGAACAAAATACATCCCAAAGCAAAGGGATACTTCATTCCCAAAATGTCAATTTCATTTGTGAACTTTAAGGTTTTGTCACCCATTTGCAAGCCTCTTCGATTTGCAATATGCAGTTTTGTTATCATCATCATCGTCGCTTGTGTTTTCTCAGCCGCAATTTCTCTCTCTCTCTTTCACTCTCTGATCTTTTACTGACTGAAATCAGAAATAATATTCACAGGGAAATCACACTAACGTGATATATATCAACGATAGCATCACCTGGGACCAGATTCACGAAAGCACTTACGCAAACACTTACGAACCTGTACATCTTTTCTCAATCTTTGGCGGCTTTGTTTACAATTATTAAACAGTTAATGAGCTCCGAAGCACCAGGAGGCTGTTTATAACAATAACAACAGTTGAATAGGAAGTTTTCATGCTTGTAAATTGTTTAATAAATGTAAACAAAGCCGTCAAAGATTGATGAAAGATGTACACGTTCGTAAGTGCTTTCGTGAATCTGGCCCCTGGAGCACTGAGGTGACCTGAACTCAGCACAGAGTTGATTGTCTCATTAGAGGTAATATGGTCTATATTAAGTATTATTGGACAGGAAAATTGATGTTTGTCTAGGGCTTGTAGGTGTTTATCCCGCGCTGCGCTGCTCCCACAGTGGCCGTCACCCCGCGCATCTTCAACACCTGGAAAGCGAAAAAATAATTCAAAAATCTACATAAAGAAGTAGATGAGATACCCGGCTGTGCCCGGGTCTCCCTCCCCTTGACACCTCCCGTTCCTTACCCTTCTTCTCTTCTCATCCCATCTCCCTCCCTCTCACCCTTTCTCCATTCATTCCAAATCTTTCCTAATTCCCTCTCTCTCACTCTGCCCTACCCACCACAAAATTATCATTGGGCTGAATCGCAAATTAGCAGAACAAGGTTGTTTCCCTAATGTCGGCTTTTTACCTTTCACGTTTGTATTCTCCTTGGCGTCCTACAGAGAAGTCTAACAGTCAACAGTCAACAGTCAACAGTTAACAGTCAACAGTCAACAGTCAACAGTCAACCGCCATTGCCTATACTGGAGTCGTGACGTCAAACTCCTGTCGGTTGCAAGGACGGGGGGAAGGGAACTATCAGAAGAAAACACCAGGCCACTACGACTCCATAGCCCTTGGAAGGGATCAGAATAAAGACCTGGCAAGGGACGGGGGGGAGAGAGAATAATCAGAATAGGACAATCAGGGGGATAAGACTCACTTGAGAGGGGACGCTGTCCGTATCCGGGGGCAGAGGTGCTGGGATGGGATGCTTGGGGCAGACGCCGTGGGGCCTCAGGTGGTACAACAGGTACTCCATCTCGTACATCTTGCGTATGTCGATGTTGTGGAAGGAGACGGCCGAGTCTGAGCAGCAGTTGAGGCCCTGAGGACGAATGAACAGGTAAGACCTCCTCAGATATCCTAACACCTGTCTACTGGGCATTTTCTGCTGGATTTCTGATTTCAATTCGAAGTATATCAATTCTAATATCTTGAAAACTCATAAAAAAAGAGTCCAATTTGAGAAACACTTTGGAAAATAAAAAGGCCACTTCAAACGTTATGAGAAATAAATATAAAAATATAATTATAACTTCTAGACGGTCAAGCAATGGTTGTTGTGAGAACAAATGACCCGCATGATGAGAGGCCGTACCGTGTTGAGGTTGTAATAGGCGTAATCGAGTAATGAGAAATGGAGCTCGTTGAACAAGTAGCTGGTGAGGGTGCCGGGGAAGAAGCGACCTCGACCCTTACCATCCCGGGAGTCTCCTCCCAGAACTCCGATATTGTTCAAGCATATTCCTGCAATGAGTAACTATAGCAATGAACAGATACTCTCCTAAAGCCTGTTATTATCACTAAAACAACTCACAAGATACCTTTCCAAGATCATTCATCTACTTTACTGCATTGTCCTTAATATTGTGTCTTTACTCCTAGACTGCAACTTACATCAATTTACTGACCCCAATTAGTGAGGTTATAAGCAGCTTTCGTTAATATATTGTTACTCTTAATAATATTTGAATTAATTACTGAAATAAACTAATACAATTTTGAAGCTTACAAGATATTAACACCAAATTATCTTGGGTTTTACTGATCAATCTCAGCATCCACTGAGACATCTATAAGCATCCACTGAGACATCTATAAGCATCCACTGAGACATCTATAAGCATCCACTGAGACATCTATAAGCATCCACTGACCCATTTCGAGATCCTCGATTCCGGTGATTGATGGACTGCACAGCGTCTTGTTAGGCAAGGACACCTCGACAAACTGTTTCACAGCTTCTCTGCTCAGCACATATCCGGCACCTGTAGCCACAGGCACAGAGAAAGTGAAATGCACAGAAAGGTGCAGAGGGAAATGACAAAGAGAAAACGGATACAGAGAACGAAGAGCAGAGAAAGAAGATTTATTGAGATATATTTACAGAGAAAGAAGGGTAAGATATGAGATAAGGAGCTATTAGAATTAGATCTACTTTATACAGATGAAACCTTTGATGATGTGGATTATAATGAAACCGTTAATGATGTGGCTTACAATGATGGGACTTACATTGAAACCCTTGATAATATGGCTTACAATGCTGTGACTTACAATGAAACCATTGATGATGTGGCTTGTAATGAAACCATTGATGATGTGGCTTGCAATGAAACCATTGATGATGTGGCTTACAATGAAACCCTTGATGGTGTGGCTTACAATGAAACCCTTAATGATGTGGCTTATGATGAAACCCTTGACGTGCATTAAAATAAAATCCTTGATGATGATGAGATTTACAGTGAAGAATTAAGCTCCAAAGAAGATATTTCTTTCACAAAGCAAATTATAATACTTCGAAGAATATGGCTGTAACCCAAGAGAGACTGTAACTTATGATTATATTTTGTGAATAATTGTTATTTACTACAGACATCCCAAATGATGTAAAGAAAATTTCTGAATTAATATTTTGTTTCACAACATCAGGAAAAAATATAGTTTACTTACCACACAAATATCCTAATTCGAATAAATTTGGAATTCGTCACCCCCATGTTCTTTAATCTATATACAGCTTCTTACTCACCCATGTTCTTTGATCCATATACAGCTTCTCACCCACCTATATTCTCTCAACCCATTGAATGTCTCGAGCGAGCCTTCAAGCCCACTTACCTCCACTCATGTAGCCCTTTTTGGTGAAGAGTCGGAATCTTGAGCCGAAGTAGATGGGGAAGTTGGGATCATATACCGAGAGCATGTAACGCATGTTCTCCATGATGGTATACCTGAGTGGTAGACGAGTATGGTTGATGTTTGTGACTGGTGGTTGATTAATGTGTCTCGTGGTTGACATCTGTGACTGGTAGTTGATGACTGTGAATGGTGGTTTTTGACTGTGACTTGTAATAACAGATGAATTAACAACAGACTTGGAGTGATGAAGTTTACAAAAACCGACATTGATCAGCCCTATCATTACATAAATTATAACATACAAACGTGCGACAAAACAATGGAATTTAACCATTGGTTCAAGATGATTAACAGTGAGGGAAATGTTGATTGATGACTAGTTGTATATATATATATATATATATATATATATATATATATATATATATATATATATATATATATATATATATTGGTGGGTTAACATCTTCGAAATAACTTCTTGCTTCAGGAGACCTTCAAGGTTACTTACGTGTCGGCATCCGCCTTGAAGAACCAATCGTAGTCATTCAAGTGGTTCTTATAGACGTAGGTGAAGGCAGCCTTGGTCTTAGCCCACAGTTCATTCCTTCCCTCAGGAACACCCAGGTCGATGGCTCCAAGCTTCGGGTCTGAAGAAAGAATCTTCCAGTGGCTGAAGATATAATAACCAAACCACACATCAGAAAATGAAGAAGCGACGACTTTTCGTTCCGTTCCGTCCCGGACGGGTAACAGAAGAGAGGAAGGTACGGGCAAATAATACCAACTCTATTACTAGACTCCATAATGGTCCAGGACGGAACGAACCGTCGTCGTTTCATCCTTTCCTGATGTGTGGTTTGGTTATTATATCTTCAGCCACGTTATTGTGACTCAATAACTCAATTATATGTCGTGACTCAAGTTATTGGGACAATTATCTATCGTTTATATATCACTAACATGTTCCTTTCTTGCTACAAGTTGTAAACAAAGATTTGTGGGTGACGAGAACCTAGTGGGCATAACCGTGAGTAAATCATATAGTAGATAAAGAAAAAGTTAAGGCACCACTGAAAGAAATGCGAAAAGCGAATAATAATAATAACATCAGAGAAGTCATTAAAAGAACAGCTGCTCATATGAGGAAGAGATTTATGTCTTCAAGTAACTGGTCAGTGGCTTTATGTTGGTCTTAAAAAAAGAAACAATGTATACAAGACCATAGACTGACCAGTTTAACGTCTGTTACAGGTGTTTATGGCTGGTTACAACCAGTCTAACTTCTGTTACAGGTGTTTATGGCTGGTTACAGCCAGTCTAACGTCTGTTACAGGTGTTTATGGCTGGTCACAACCAGTCTAACTTCTGCTACAGGTGTTTATGGCTGATCACAGCCAGTCTAACTTCTGCTACAGGTGTTTATGGCTGGTTACAGCTAGTCTAACTTCTGCTACAGGTGTTTATGGCTGGTCACAGCCAGTCTTACTCCTGTTACAGCTGCTCGTAGCTGGTCAGACCAAACAGGAGGTGTTATAACTGTTATAATTGTATATTATATAATGTTATAATTGTTAAGTGCTACCAGAGAGCATTCATATTGGCAAAGTTCACTATTCATTATGAAGAGTGTGTTCACTTTTTGAGTAAGGATGCTGACGATTTTGATGAACTCAAGTGATGATTTTTATTGAATTCGGTGACCATTTTGATGCAATCCTTTAATTATTTAGACCACTATGATAGAAAAGCGTGACCATTTTCATGGAATCAAGTGTTATTTTTAGAAGATCCAATGGCCACTCAGAAGACGGCAACTAACAATTCCTGAATGAATCAGTGGAGAACCTCAGTGAGGAGTACCACTGACCACAGTAAGGAAACTGACTTTCTTTGACAAAGTTACTATTTTAATTAGGTCAATATACTCTTCAAACTATGGTATCAGACCTCATAAAAGGCATCTGAGGATTTTCAGAAGAACTACCAAAGTTTATATTGAGAACCATTAATCACTCTAAGAAAAGCCTTTAGATATTTTAAAAAATATCAGAGACAATTGTCATAAGGGATATTGACTTTTCTGTGGAAAGATTTCGAATCACTTTGAGATGGGTGACTAATAATCAATCTAAGAAGAACCGCTGACCATTCTGAGACGTACAACTAACCATTCTTGGTGCTCATGAAGATGAGCTTGTCGCAGTGGGAGCCCCAGGTGGCCTTGACGTGGACTGACTTGGTGTAGTGAGTCGCTGGGTGTGTCAACACCCAACACAACACCCGCACCTTCTGCGCCTCGGCCACCTTCTGCAGCGCCTCCTCTGTGTACACACACACACACACACACACACACACACACACACACACGCAAAAAGAAATATAATATTAACATATTGTTAATTTTTTTAAATGATTGTAGACTTAGAACTAATACACTGTAACATACACAAGTCCTTAGATAAATATACTTTCATTAAAGAAAGGTCTTCTATATGTATAAATGTATTTAGAGAATTATATATGTATCTACCCTTCGACAGACTTTAGATTACTTTAGCCTAAAGGTAAATTTACATTCATCTACGTAAGCAATTATATCAATACGTTTCTCAGCTCAATCTTGCTGTTTATTTACCAATCTTGCTCAATCCACTGGTACTTTGTGGCACCAGTGGATTGTGGCACCAATCGACGCCAACACATGGCGTCGACTTCTTATATTAAGTGTTAATATACTTACAGGTACTTACAAATATATATATTTTAACACATGTCTGAAGTGTGTGTGGCTCTTTGTTAAGGATTTTAGCCGAGGTTGTGAGCATTAAAGAAGGATTGTGATAAATGTTTTATCTGGGTTGTGTCAGAGGTTGTGAGTGATGTCTTGAGGAGAGACGCTTTACCTGGGATGAAGCTGTGGTTGTGAAGCTTCGTGGGTGAAGCGGCGATGTCTTCTGGGATAAACGGGCTTCTGAGTCTGGGAGTTCAATGGGCAACATTTATTAGGAGGAAATTGAAAGGGAAAACAAGAGAAGTAGCAGAAGGACAGTAAGATTAAGAAAAGTAGAAAGACGAGGATGAGAAAGCGACAGAAGAAAAAACAAAAGATTGAGGAATGTGATAAAACAGAAGTAAAAGAGTAATTGATAAATGTAAAGAACAAACGGTCGATAAACATATCACTGAAAAACTCATGAAGACATAATCTGATGAAACATCAAAATATATGAAGAAATAAAGTTATTAAACAAATATCGAGCAAGAATAAAAAAAAATAAAAAAAAATTGAGGACATTTTTTTTACAGTGGCACTAAAATTACCAATTAATGAAATAATCTTTGACATGAATTTTTTTAATAAAAATTACATTAAAGCAAATTGAAAAAATTCAGGCGACCTTTCTACTCACAGGTTTCTCAATTGGTACATAAATCTACACATAACAACATATAAGACATCGTTAAAGATGTTCTAAACAGCTCGAAAGGTCTGCTAGGGTCTGTACCTGGATAAGCTGAAATATTGAGGTGTGAAACTTATTGAAGACAGAAGACCTCCGGCTATTGCAGAGACTGTCATGAGCATAGCCGTCCTGAGTGGTGACTCTGAGGGAATGGAACGTTGTCATGTGAGTCCTTCAGAGTGGGTGAAGGAAAGAATGGGTATATGGGTGGGGAAATCTGGAATATGGAAATCAGATTGAGACGAGAATATAAGGAAACCAGAGAGAACAGAATAAATGGGTAACTCAGAGAAACGAGCATAATGGCATATTAGAGAAGGAATGAGAGGAATACACGGGAAAGACAGAAACCATGGGACCTATTGATCCACGACGCGGTTATCAGATAGGGAGGGAGAAAGACCTACTCCAGCCTGGTCTAAAACTCAGGGCAGAAGGTTCACGCCACGCTATGTGCTCACCCCGCCATTGAAGTTTGATAGGAAAGCGGGAAAAAATGGTTCTGTTCTGCTGTTATTGTCCTACTTGACTCTATAATAAAAGTCATTGGGAATAATGACTCTGTCCTACTTTAAGGACACTACAACAACAACTACTACAAGATACTATCCCCAGGATGCAGCCCGTAGCAGCCGTCTAACTCCCAGATACCTATTTACTGCTAGGTGAACAGGCTATCAGGGTGAAAGAAACCCTGCCCATTTGTTTCCGCCTCCTCTGGGGAGCAAACATGGAACCTTAGGACTACGACCCCCCGAGCGCTGTCCACTCAGCCACGAGGCCCATGGATACACACATACACACTGTGTGTGTATGTGTGTGCTCACCTAGTTGTACTCGACTAGTTGTGGTTGCGAGGGTTGAGCTTTGGCTCTTTCGTCCTGCCTCTCAACCCGTCAATATACTGGTGTACAGATTCTGAGTTCTCGATCTCTATCATACCTACACTTGAAGCTGTGTATGGAGTCAGCCTCCACTGTGTGTGTGTGTGTGTGTGTGTGTGTGTGAGTGTGTGTGTGTGTGTGTGTGTGTGTATGTGTGTGTGTATGTGTGTGTGTGTGTGTGTGTGTGTGTGTGTGTGTGTGTGTGTGTGTGTGTGTGTGTGTGTGTGTGTGTGTGTGTGTGTGTGTGTGTGTGTGTGTGTGTGTGTGTGTGTGTGTGTGTGTGTGTGTGTGTGTGTGTGTGTGTGTGTGTGTGTGTGTGTGTGTGTGTGTGTGTGTGTGTGTGTGTGTGTGTGTGTGTGTGTGTGTGTCTGTGTGTGTGTGTGTGTGATGTGTATGTGAGTGTGGATGAGTAGGTGTCCAACAGGTGTCTGTAACAGGTGTTCGATAATATGTTTATTCTTTTCCCCGGCATTGAATGTACGCACAAAGATGCAAATTGTGAGCAGATAACAATACCTCGCTATCTGATTATTAATGAATCACATATGTTATCTCGGCAGCATCCTCCTGGCTGTTATTGCCTAGTTTATAAACCCTTTTTGAACGGTGTTCCTACTTCCTCTTCATAATTAAAAGTTGTATTAATAACACCTTGTAGAAATCATTACAGTTTTCTGCTTGGGGCAGAGAAAAGATGCAGACCATGACAGATAGATATATGAATGGATAAAGGATGTATAGCGAGATGAATTGATAGATGGATAGATATATGGAGAGAATAATGGATACATAAATGCATGGAAAGATGAATGGATATATAGATGGATAGATGAATGGTTTGTGAATAAAGTCGGAATGCGAAAGGAATCAGAGAGTTATAATTAGTAAGAATTTAAAATAATAAAATCAATGCATAAATGTTCGTAATAAGGCAAATAGGACACTGGGATTTATTAATCGAAGCGTTAGTAACAAGACACCTGGTGTTATTCCTCAGCTATATCTTGCTCTGGTTAGGCCCCATTTAGATTATGCAGTTCAGTTTTGGTCGCCGTACTATAGAATAGATATACCTTCACTTGAACGTGTCCAGCGTAGGATGACAAAGTTAATCCCACAAATTAGAAACCTGTCCTATGAAGAAAGATTAACAAAGCTTAAGTTGCATTCACTGGAAAGGCGAAGAGTTAGGGGTGACATGATAGAGGTTTACAAGTGGATGAATGGACATAACAAAAGGGATATTAATAGGGTATTAAAAGTATCAACACAAGACAGAACACGAAATAACAGGTATAAATTGGGTAAGTTTAGATTTGGGAAAGGCCAGGGTAAATACTGGTACGGTAACAGGGTTGTTGATTTGTGTAACCAGTTGCCACGTGGTGTGGTGGAGGTGGGGTCCCTTAATTGTTTCAAGCGTGGGTTGGACATGTATATTAGTGGGATTGGGTGGTTATAAATAGACGGATAGACAGATAAGTAGATGGATGGACAGATAGATGGGTGGCTAGATGGATAGATGGATGCATAGATGGATGCATAGACTAATGGGTAGATGTATGGTAATATAGATATATGAACAGAGGGACAGATAAATGGATAGATGGGTGAATGGATGTAGAAATAGATTCTTAGATGGATAGATGAGGGCTAGATAGACAGATGGAGTGATAGACATATGGATGGATAGATGGGTTTATAGTATTTTTCTGATGAATATTCAAAGAGACAAACTAATGTAATATGTCGATGACCTTTTTGTTAAGACTTTAACCCTCACACTACCTCCGTCTAGCTTAACCCTCACACTACCTCCCTCCAGCTTAACCCTCATACTACTTCCCTCTAGCTTAACCCTCACACTACCTCCCTCCAGCTTAACCCTCATACTACTTCCCTCTAGCTTTACCCTCACACTGCCTCCCTCTAGCTTAACCCTCACACTACCTCCCTCTAGCTTAACCCTCATACTACTTCCCTCTAGCTTAACCCTCACGCTACTTCCCTCTAGCTTAACCCTCACACTACCTCCCTCTAGCTTTACCCTCACACTACTTCCCTCTAGCTTAACCCTCACACTACCTCCCTCTAGCTTTACCCTCACACTACTTCCCTCTAGCTTAACCCTCACACTACCTCCCTCTAGCTTAACCCTCACACTACCTCCCTCTAGCTTTACCCTCACACTACCTCCCTCTAGCTTTACCCTCACACTACCTCCCTCTAGCTTTACCCTCACACTACCTCCCTCTAGCTTTACCCTCACACTACCTCCCTCTAGCTTAACCCTCACACTACTTCCCTCTAGCTTAACCCTCACACTACTTCCCTCTAGCTTAACCCTCACACTACCTCCCTCTAGCTTTACCCTCACACTACCTCCCTCTAGCTTTACCCTCACACTACCTCCCTCTAGCTTTACCCTCACACTACTTCCCTCTAGCTTAACCCTCACACTACCTCCCTCTAGCTTTACCCTCACACTACTTCCCTCTAGCTTAACCCTCACACTACCTCCCTCTAGCTTCACCCTCACACTACTTCCCCTTACCTTCACCCTCACACTACTTCCCCTTACCTTAACCCTCACACTACTTCCCCTTACCTTAACCCTCACAATACCTCCCCTTACCTTAACCCTCACAATACCTCCCCTTACCTTAACCCTCACAATACCTCCCCTTACCTTAACCCTCACAATACCTCCCCTTACCTTAACCCTCACAATACTTCCCCTTACCTTAACCCTCACACTACTTCCCCTTACCTTAACCCTCACAATACCTCCCCTTACCTTAACCCTTAAGCCCCAGCAGGTGGTGACACATATTACTCTCCCAACAGGCGATTTTTTTTGTAAACAGTGAACACAAAATGTATCATCCCTTTTCTGTCGTAATAATTCCAATAACCCATCCGTTTATCCACCCACAACCCCATTCCATCATACACCCTTCTGTTTATCCATCTAGAATTGTTTCCTCACCTCTCAAAACAATCTTGTTCATCTTGTAGTATTCGTCGCTATGTGTCTCTTCTACGGCAGGAATAACTGGAATTATTATTGCATAGATATTGGGAGCAGGATTTTACAAACTGGGACACTGTTTCTGCCCCGACATGCCAGTGGCGTCCTGCAGTGTGGCAGAGATCTGTGGAGAGGTCTTCACGCAACAGTTTCTCACTCGTACTGTGAGATGCTACGCAGGTGGAGGTCTCAAACAAACAGGTGTAAGGGGGCTGTGAGGGAGTGTTTGCGTGGTAACCATATGACTCTAACACTGCTCTGAGTATATGCACTCACCTGTGAACACATGTTCTCTTTTTTTTTCCTAACCACATGTCAAAGGAGAGAGAGGGGGGAGGATTGTCACACCTGAAACAGCTTACCTTGCCACGTCTCACTAAGCAGTGAGGTTGCCTCTATTCAGTTCTCGCTACCTGCCAGGGATGCTTCTCTCAGTTGGTGACGAGGCTCTTGACCGGGCAAAACCACTTGACTATTGTATCATTTTTCACGGTGGGGTTTTTCATGCATTTTGAAGTCACGGGTTCTCTGACATCCAGTATTTAATTAGGCAATTAAATGATTATATTATATATTAGTGAATATATATATATATATATATATATATATATATATATATATATATATATATATATATATATATATATATATATATATTATTAAGTGATTATATGTATATACACACACACATATATATATATATATATATATATATATATATATATATATATATATATATATATATATATATATTATTAAGTGATTATATGTATATACACACACATATATATATATATATATATATATATATATATATATATATATAAATGTCGTACCTAGTAGCCAGAACGCACTTCTCAGCCTACTATGCAAGGCCCAATTTGCCTAATAAGCCAAGTTTTCTTGAATTAATTGTTTTTCGACTACCTAACCTACCTAACCTAACCTAACTTTTTCGGCTACCTAACCTAACCTAACCTATAAAGATAGCTTAGGTTAGGTTAGGTAGGGTTGGTTAGGTTCGGTCATATATCTACGTTAATTTTAACTCCAATAAAAAAAATTGACCTCATACATAATGAAATGGGTAGCTTTATCATTTCATAAGAAAAAAATAAGAAAAAATATATTAATTCAGGAAAACTTGGCTTATTAGGCCAATTGGGCCTTGCATAGTAGGCTGAGAAGTGCGTTCTGGATACTAGGTACGACATTATATATATATATATATATATATATATATATATATATATATATATATATATATATATATATATATATATATATATATATGTATATACATATAATCACTTAATGTATGTATATATATATATATATATATATATATATATATATATATATATGTCGTACCTAGTAGCCAGAACTCACTTCTCAGCCTACTATGCAAGGCCCGATTTGCCTAATAAGCCAAGTTTTCCTGAATTAATATATTTTCTATAATTTTTTTCTTATGAAATGATAAAGCTACCCATTTCATAATGTATGACGTCAATTATTTTTGATTTTAGTTAAAATTAACGTAGATATATGACCGAACCTAACCAACCCTACCTAACCAAACCTAACCTATCTTTATAGGTTAGGTTAGGTTAGGTAGCCAAAAAAGTTAGGTTAGGTTAGGTTAGGTAGGTTAGGTAGTCGAAAAACAATTAATTCATGAAAACTTGGCTTATTAGGCAAATCGGGCCTTGCATAGTAGGCTGAGAAGTGAGTTCTGGCTACTAGGTACGACATATATATATATATATATATATATATATATATATATATATATATATATATATATATATATATATATATAATATCAGTGGTCCCCACTCTCATCCCTTTCAATTCCCTCTCTCTCTCTCTCTCTCTCTCTCTCTCTCTCTCTCTCTCTCTCTCTCTCTCTCTCTCTCTCTCTCTCTCTCTCTCTCTCTCTCTCTCTCTCTTAAAAATTATATAATGAAGAACCGAAATTGCTAAATTACTTTACATACAACACTACCAATATTTCTTACTTGAGTTCATTAAATTGCATTTGGGAGGAGCGTGTGTGTGTGTGTGTGAACGGATCAGATGGCGATATTTTTACAGCGTGGCACTAGAGCCGAACCAGTCGGGCTTATGACCCCCCCCCCCCACCACCACCACCACACCCCCACATGCGTCATGTGTGAAAGTTTGGTGAGGCTAGCCTTAGCATCTGGCCTGAAACTTGAAGGGTTCTGTCCAGTTCCTTATGTATATTAAGCATACATAAGGAACTGGATAGAAGTCTTCACGTGTTAATAAACAACTGGTACACGAATAGAGAAATCAGCACCTGTGTCAGAAGATATTTAGAATAATAGTATAACAGAGAACCTTCCATAAAGCTCTGTTGCAAGTCCACCATGATCTCACAGAATAAAACAGAAGAAATTTTAATCAAAAATATTTCAAATGGATTGAAACCGACAACCCCAGACCAAAAATTGGAATTCACTATTTACATCAATACGAAAAAAAAACTACTTTTAGCCTAAATACTATTAAACCTAAGCCTTAATACTTAAGAACTGCCCCCAGTAAACAATACAGCCTTCTCCAGAACACATGCGTGGTACACCAATTTACCTGCCAAAATTAAGGATGTCACCGTCGATCTACTTATGTTGGTATGACCACCTGATAAAAGCTTTCGTGAAGACTTGACTGCCTAAGTCTATCAGAAAAACGAGGTGCAGCTGCGTTGTTGTTATTGTGGTTTAAGATTCAGCTACTGGGAACAAAAAGTTCCAAGTAGCACAGGCTATGGTGAGCCCGTAGTGGACTTACCTGGCACAGGATAGGGGCTGTAACTAGTGCAGCTGCGGACGACGGAGAGTAATATAGTGTGCTAACACCTGTGGCCAGGACACCTGACTTGACGCCATTAGAGCGTCGTCATTCTCACATATACCTGGACGGATAATCTGGTCAAGATTCTAAAGAAAGTGGACTGGAAATGGACCATTAAAAAGAAAGGGGAAAAATAGACCATATCAACACTTTCGGCAGCCTCCTCCATGAGAAGAATCGAGTCTAAAGATAATCATTGAAGAATTACCAGTTAAAAAATCAGCCTGGGACTCGCAGAGGCTCAAAGCAGTCATGGAACAATAAATGGAAACCATCTCAAGACCCACAACGACTCACATCTTCACAGACGGATCAGTTGATCAAGAAAGAGGTTCTGCTGGGGCAGCAGTTTACACTAACAACCATGAAGCTTACTGGAGCATGAATAGTGGGTGCTCAACATTGCAAACAGAATTATATGCTCTGAAGGAGGCCATAAATTATACAATTGAGAATAATTTACATTATGTCATCATTCATACCAACTCTAAATCTTCGCTCCAGACATTGTTATCCAGCCAGCACAGAGATAATATACAATTCATCACAGAAATTCTACATATAAGAAAAGAAGCCCACAATCTAGGGCTGTCAATCACCCTAAATTGGATACCAAGTCACATTGACATAGATGGTAAGGAAAAGGTAGACACACTAGCAAAACCTGCCAATGCTCTACCTGTTCTACAGGTAAAAATACCTCAAGTTTTTCACAGATTAAGGTGCAAATCAAGAAGAAAATACAACTATCAAAATCGCCATAGAGCCAAAGTAGCGGAAGGAAGATCCACTGCGATATGGTACGAACAAGCCACAAGCCACAAGCCACAAGCCACAAAATAAAACCAAACAAGCTAAATTAAAAATGGGTATGTATAGCTAAGGTACACCCCACCCCCACCCCCTAGCTATACTTATTGCTGGGTGAACAGGGGTATTTGGTGATAGTAAATGTTCCCACCAGCCCCGGATCATCACCTTCTCTCATATATCATGTTCACCAGTGTTTATTTACTTAATAACTACTGGTATAATATCTTGCTATTATAAAACTAATTTTATTATCATGAAAGACATATTTACTACAAGTTTCAAGCAGAGAATGCATATATAGCTAACACGAAAGACTCCTTCTTAAATGAGACTCGCCAGCTAAAATGTTTGTTTATAATAAAATCGATCCTCCGTGTTGTGTAGTAGAGAAAAATTGAGTTACATCCAGTTTACGTAAAGCTATGAGTGCTCGAGAGCGTCTTTGCGCGACGGAGCATACTTACGAAAATTTTGATACTTAGATGCCTACCTGAATACCAACGTAGCCGCTACGAAAAGGCTAAGAAGGAAAACATTCGTAAATACGTATGTAACTGCTTCGTGAATCTGGCCCCTGTTTCCTAACTGGGCATGATTTGCATACAGAAGAATATGAGCCATTGCGGTTGTTACATTTTCATGTTGTGTTGGTTCAAGATGTCCAAAGAATGTACCTGATCGGAAAACTTAGAGCAAAATGTGGTTCTTGCTATATTGCAGGCGAGTTTGAAGGTACCACCTCTGGTGTAAATGTGGGGGACCACCTCTGGTGTAAATGTGGGGGACCCATAGCCTCGGAGAAGAAAATAAGGAGTATTCAGAGAAGACCTTGTGGATTCTCACTGAACACTTTAATATTTTCTTCTCCTACCACCCCTATTCTCTTTTTTTTATTACATTGTGTTACAGTTTACAGAAAACACACACACATATATTAATCACTGTTCGAAGACCTCATCCAGCTCTTCTGAGGTGGGTGGTGCGTGCCTAAGATACAGCAAGAATTTCCTCTCTGGATCGCGACCCTGAGGTCCCTGGAACAGGAAACTGGCCGCCCTTGAGTCTCTAGTTTGTCTAATGAGTTCCTCACCCACCTCCATTATAAGCTTAAGTGCACACTCACCCCAGGTGGCCAGGGGTCTCAGAGCCTGTTGGCACGAACCTGTAAATTATAATAACGAGCATTTTATTTGTCGTATGTGTATCAGCTTATGTGCCACACCTAATTGCACGGCGCTCGATAGCGCCAATGCTGCGGTGTACAACAGCTGCAGGATATCGGTAAGATCATTCACATGCAACTCTACATGTCAGGCGAATCATACACACGCAGCTCTGCACGTCAGGTAGACGTTGCATAAATGTAGTGTATTACGGCTCCAACAGACCGCATAGAAAAGTAGGAGCGTCAAGAGCAACCAGCCGCCGCCTCCTCCACACAGTGTGGCAGAAGCTCTTGGTTGACCAACTTCCTCCTTGTTCCC